AAGTAATATGATCAGAAATATGGGAGGTAAACAGTGTCACTGGATGAGTATTATAGGAAGAACAGAAAGAATTGCAGCATGTAAATTTACTGGGTGGTAGTACTCAGCATGCTTCTAAGCAGAGACTCCACAGGTATTAAGCTCATTACTGAACAACTATGATTTAGAACTACCATTATGCAGGCTTAACGTGAAGCAGCTAAATAGACAGATTATTGCAAAAACAAGCAGCCAGGTCACCTGCCCCCTTGGAATCTTTACAACTGCCATTCTTCTACCTGAAATGCCCTTCTGATTTATTTGTTTTGCTCAAAATACTGAGTTTTAACCCAACTGTCACTTCCTCTTTGCACTCCTCCCTGGGGTCTCTTACCTCCGAATCCCTGTCACCTTGCTTTTATTTTCCCCTACAGGACTTACCACTTTCTACCATTCTTGATGCTATACTCAATTCTTTTTTTTTATTTCTCCACTTAAAAATACAGCTATCCACAAGTCCAGAAATTTTATTTCAATAATTAATGTATTCTCTGGGGTCTGGAATAGTGTTTAGCCTATCACAGTAATTTGGTTAATATTCATGAAATGAAAATTTAGGCCATCAAAAGGAAATGGGAAAGCTATGATAAAATAGTCATCATTAATACAAAGAAACTTTCCATATGAGGATTAAATTTGAGTAGATTATAATGATGACTTCATATTTGGATGATCAGAAATTGAATTAGAATGATTTCCAAGTGAAAAAAATTGCCTGACATTTATAGAGAATACAAGACGATGGCTGGGAAGCATATTTCATAGCTGGAGATAAAAGAATGGTGGAATCATGAGATTTAAAAAACTCAATTAAAAACTAAATATATAAACTAGAAAATACTGAAGACAAAGGTAAAGAGCTGGGAAGGATGGGCAGGTGTAAAAAGTGGTGGTGAATTAGAGTGTAAGGGAAACCAAAAAATAATAAGAAAGATAAAAATAGAAATAGACAGGAAATACTGTGTTTCTAAATCCCATGAGAAATACTCAAAATATAAAAAGAGAAATTGAGTGATGGCATTGGAATCTGCCATTCTTCTACCTGAAATGCCCTTCTGATTTATTTGTTTTGCGTTGAGTTGAAAATATTGTCAGAGCAAAGATAAGTCAGTGGAATTTTCAGGTAGTTGTGTGGTAGGAACTGGACTTCATTCCACAGTCAACAGAGAGAAATGCATAAGCAGCACAGCTACTTGTAAAAAAGATGGTTTGGGCAAAGAACAAAGGCGATTTCTCCCACAGATAGCAGGAAAAAGAGAATATAACCATGAGAAGAGGATAAAGAGGGTAAAGAAATGCACAAAAACTGGAGTGTCACATTGTTTTTAATAGAATAGGTGGAAAGATGATCTGCCAAAGAAGGATGGGACAGCTGGGACCGGGGGAATGGGAAGAGAGAAAAGGTCTAAAATAGATCCCATAGGGAGTGAGCCTGAGAGTACAGAAAAGACAATTAAAAAGACTGCCAAATAGCAGCAGAAACCAGATTGAAGTTTGAAAGCATCCAGTTCTAATGAGCCAAATCTGCAATGCTTTGTTTGCCTCCAGCAGTGCTCTCTCTCCTGGGAGAAGCAGCAAAGAGAGCAAGAGTTAGAGGTAATCTACGTTCAGGAGGCTGCTGTGTGAGCGAGGATGCAAAGGGCATCAATGAAAACAGACAAGGCTAGGCAGGAAACTGCAACTCACTTGCCAGAGAGCAACAGTTCTTGCATCAGATCACTGCCGAGATTGAAACCTGAAATTTTCATAGAAATTAGATGCTTCTAATTTCTCACCTGCCTCTCCGTATCATTCATGCTGAGACCACAGGAAAGGGAAAAGGCACAGTGTGAATGAGATTAGATGAGTTTTAGAGGAGGGCTGCCACACTGAGTTAGGGTGGGAGGATAAGGGAGCAAGGTGGGGAGCACAGCTAACATGGAAGGAGCACCTGCCCCAAATCCTTGTTTCTCTGAGATATTAAAATAACTAAGCAAACCATAGAAAAGCATTGGAAAAATAATATGATTTTGCTGTTGTTGTTATATATTTATATATGGCTTGAAATTACTAAATTATTACTTTGATTTTTAAGTGAAATCCTGGCACCTCCTGTTGGTACATGCAGTACAGTCCTTCACAGTGAGATGTCCTCTCCTCACTTCTTATCTCACTCTACATTGTTTACTTAGGTCCAACCAGCTCCATCTTTTCACTCCCAGAATAAATCAGGTTTATTCCCAACTCCGGGCCTTTGCACCAGCTGTTCCTCAGTGCTGTTCAGGCCGTGCACCCTGAGAAGTAAAGCAGCTAAGTTTGACACTCAGGGCTCAGTGTGTCACTTCCTCAGAGAGACCCACCCTACCACTGACCTAAAGTATCTGCATGTGCTCTTCACATGTCACCTCCTTGGCTTTGGTCTCTATTCCTGACTCACTCTTACCTGAAAATATTGTGCTTACTTATTTGCGCTTTGTGGACTGTCTCTCCAGTTAGAATGTCATCCCCAGGACAAAACAAAGTCATACACATTTTCCACAAATAAATTGTGTAAACTATAAGCAATGAATTTGTTGTTTGTTTTGTTAAATGAGATCCATAAAACAGGCTTAATAATTAAGAGAGTAAAGAAAGCAGACTTTAAACTCTTCTCCATAAAAGCCAATCTCTATATAAGAAATTCAACCCCCAGCCAAGTTTTCACATTTTCTCTGCAAAGTATTATAGGTCAGTTGCTTAAGATATTACAAAAGGAAGGGGATGTTAAAATTTGTTACCCGATGAATAATTGATATTAACAAATTATTCATGATTTTAATGTTTGATATTATTTACTAATTATTATTTTCCCAAAATATAAATGAAATTTTAAAACAACCTGACTTAAGATACACATGTAGAAGTCGAAAACTAAAAAGAATGAATAAGGAAATATCAGACATATCCAAATAGAAATACTCTTCAAAATACTTGCCCTATATTCTTCAGGTACAACACAGTCAACACAAAATAAAGCTATGGAGGGCTTCATGTTTAGACTAGGATTTTGTAAGTAAATATTCCTACTTTTAAGAAATACGCATGGTGTTAGAAAAATTTACAAAAATGATTAATGGCTACACAAATAGATAGGTAGACAGATCTAATAAAATATTTTTAAGGCTGTTAAGTAAAAGAAAAATTCACTCATGTCAGTGATAAAAATAATAGTAATTAGTTGGTAAACCATAAACAGATACATGGATGACAAAAATCTGCTATAAGAAATATTGAAATAAAAATAGAAACCTTTATGGTATAAGCTCTGATAACACATTATTACTTTGATACATAGGATTTTTTTTTTTTTTGTCTTTTTCATTTTTATTGGTACCAGGGATCGAACTCATGACCGCCTGCTTGCAAGGTAGGTGCTTATGCCGCTGAGCTGAATCCCCAGCCCCGATAGATAGGATTTATAAAAATTGCTTTTGAAATGTACAGAATTTTTGGACTAAAAGCCTTGATAAAGTGATTTCATTGCTTACCAATATGTTTTAGAAAAACACTATGATAATAATTCAATTTTACGTGGAAAGATTGAATGAAGGGGGCTGGAGATTTAGCTTAGCGGCATAAGCGCCTGCCTTGCAAGCAGGCAGTCGTGAGTTTGATCACCGATACCGATAAAAATGAAAAAGACAACAAAAAAAGGAAAGATTGAATGAAAATTTTAAATTATCAAATAGTGCACAAAAATCAATTTTCAGATAGATTGATGAAATAAATCATTTCCTGAATCCTTTATACTTTTAAATTTAAATTGAAGCCCTAGTAATGAAAATAATAATAAAGAACAGCTTCAAAGTGGCTATGTTGTCCTCATTTTAAAAGGAAACAAAAGAAACTTGTAGAGATTAAATGTCTTTTTAAACTCTAGGTAGGCATAGTGTGACACATATGAAAAATTACAGTGACTTGCCTGTTCCTTGGACAAAAGTGACTGCTACACAATCAAATACCATCTACCTTAGTGTAAAGATTGAGTTTATTGTACTGCAAATGTTGATTTCAGTATTGATATAGTTACATGTATAGTTTTTGAAATTCTTGCTTTTTTATTACCCGGAGACAGCACAAAATTCAAGATACACTCACATATGCATGCATATAAATAACTTATGTATTTATAGTGGCATTATATATTTAGTCTGAATTATCCAGTAGGTTTCAAATTAAATGGGCAATATGTGTGGCCCAAATAATATACTCATATTTACTATTTCTTTTCTTTTCTGACCTAGATGTCCTTGGAGAGTTCCAAACTATAAGTATTTAGAACAATCCATGATATATGCATCTTAAGGATAAAGCTATACACAGCTTTACTGAAATAGTAAAAGAAAATTCTCTCTATTAAGTAAAACTATAGTCAAGGTTTAGCTAGAAAAATCTACTGACCTGCTTTAAAATTTAAAAAGCTGCTTTCACCAGTGTGTCTGCATACACACACACACACACACACACACACACACACACACACACACGAGGAATTTTCCACTGAGGTTGCACATAGTAGTTATCAAAGTGCTGTCAATGAAAGCTGAGATTACTAACCCCAAGGCAAGGATATGCACATTGAGTGCAGTCTGCTTACTAATTACCCTGAATCTTTTAAGCCTTAAATCTTTAAAGAAAAATCATGATTATAGGAAACTCAAGGTTATAATTAAAACAGAACAATGTAATCATCTCTAAGACATCACTGCAGTCCCCTATTCCCCAGTGAACATTTGTAATTATAAAACAATAAATCTTATAAAAACAGTAAAACAGTAAATCTTAATTTCAAAGTAGTACCAACTTTATCTTACAAAGATATGCTATTATTTCCGTTATTGTGAACTTTGAGTCATCAAACTTAATTCATGTCAAATAGTGTGCATATAATACAATATCACATGGCATAAAGAACTTGATGGCATATCTATGATTTTACTCACCAGTTGTTTCCACAATGCCTTCTAGGATGACGACAATCTCGAACTGTTCAGTTTGCATACTTCGCTGGGATAGGTCATAAAAGGGGCTTTTGGCATCAATCACGTGGCAAATTGTGAGGGGGGACACAAGAAAAAGTTGATCTGCCCCTGTGCTAAAACCTACATCCAGTTCAAGTTGGTCAAGGGGAAGGAACTCACCCTCAGGTGTCTGCCGAGACTAGACAAGCACACAGAAAAAGAGAAGAAATCACCACTTGTACTGAAATTTTCAAGGCAGCCCAACAGTAATTTACATCATTGCCAACATTCTGCACTATCAATCATCTGCAACAAAATCCAAACAAATCATTATGCGGCTATGTTCTAGCAAATGGGCTGAAATCCCACATAGCTCATGTGGAACATACATGCATTATTTATAATATACAACTTGCTATAATTACTATTCCCTAACTCGTGAGCTTTGGAGAAATGCCTGGCCCAACAATGGCTGTTAGCATACACTGTAGAAGTGACTGTACACGTGCCACTACCTGACACAAATTACTGCATGATAACTCACTGCATGCCAGATTTTTCATTCCTCACAAAGCAAATAAATAAGCAAACCTTATAGAGTTGGTTAAAATTAGAAAGAGGGACTATCACATAAGAAGATACTTATTGAAATATTTAAAAGCAAAGCACAATGATTTATTTTTCAGAATTTCTGAAAAGTAACAAATGTAAGTAAATTAAAAAGAAGAATGAATATTTTATCAGGTTAAATTATGTTACCTACGCGAGTTCACTTTATAAAAATAAAAGACCTGTGCCAGTAGCTAATGGCTTTCAAACTACTAAGAATGAACTGTAATATATTTGTTCACTTTGAATCACAGACAAAACTGTACTAAACTGAATATTGCATAATTAAAATATGATTTTGAACAGTTTTATTTGATAAATATAGTTTAGAAAAATTTTCATAAGGTAGTTGTATTCAGTTTTAACATAAATCACTCTAAGATTAATTCCATAAATTATCCACATGCTAATAGACTCTAAATGAAAATGAAATGTGACATAAAATCAACAAACCATGAAAATTAACTTACTCATTTTCCATTGATTTGCATTTTGTTTTCCATATCTTTCATGGACAATAATCATGTATAAATGAATATCTAAGTTTAGTTTATAAAATGGTAGTAGTAAAATTTGTATATTTAGCAGTTGCATTTCAAAAAGATTTAATTGATGCAGGCATGGTGGTGCCCACCTGTAATTCTAGCACTCAGGATGCTGAGGCAAGAAGATCATTGCAAGTTTGAGACCAGCCTGGGCTATAAAGTGAATTTAAGGCCAGCCTGAACTGCATAGTGAAATTTTCAAAGAAAAAGAAAAGAAAAGGGAAATATAAAGAGAAGAAAAAGAAAAGAAAAATTTAGTTGGGAGGGGCCAATAATACTAGGCAAATGGGAATCTGAAGAATATAGTCTATTTTTAAAGACTGCAGAAAGAGAATTTAAGAAACAAAATTGAATCTATATCACTTATCTGATCAATGAAAAGGTAGTTTAAAGATTGCACCCTTACTAAAATACATTAGCTGTAAAAGTTGAATAAATGAGTCTAAAAACACTGAGAAAGTGGTTTAGTAAAATTTCCTTTCTGATAAAACAGAAAATTTTCAAATCATTATCCATTTATCATGGCAGCAATTGCTATGGTATCAGTAGCAATATTAGTCAATTAGGTTAGTGACACTCAGAAATATTTGGATAGAAGAAAATCCAATGACATCACTGAACTTACTTCTGTACATTGTGGGTAATTTTTAACATTAGAAGAGGAGCGCAAACACGGGTGGAGGAAGAGGAGAGAGGAACAGCAGGGGGCAGAAACAGAAAAAAGGGATTATGGCTGCAAAGAAAAACTCCATGGAAAAATCTAATGGTCCAAAAACAAAACCAGCAGTTCTCACAACCTATGTTGGAGAAAAGTAGGTATTTATAAGTCAGCATGAAATGAAAAATTACTCTGAGAAGATTTTTCAATTCATCTATATTTTTAAGCCTACTCTCAAATTAGTAAAACATGGATGAGACCAATATTTTTCCTGCTACTGTTGTATAAAAAGAAGTAAGAAAATAAAATGAAAACCAGCCACAAAGCAAAATTTAGAACAAAAATGCTGTGTCATTGTATCCTTACCTAGTAAGAAACAGGTGCTATAAAAACACAAGGTGGTATTCTGATAGTTCCAATTAATTGCCAAAATTTGGGTGCATTTACTGAATATTTTGGGTTCTGCTTTTCATGCACTACATGGCAATGTTGACAATGATAAATCCATAAAATCTCAATTTTTCATTTATTTAAAAATAATTTCCCCCAAATAATATATGCTTGTACTTCACATACATCAGTACTAAAAGCTGTCTTTTAAAAAAGGGCTGTAAGGTAAGCTATTAAGGTAAGCCCTTTTTAAAAAAGGGCTATAAGGTAAGCATAATATTTTATGCTCCTTAATCATTCAATAATCCATGAAGACAGAAGTGGCCTAGAAACAGGCAGGCTATCCAGGAGAGTTCCAATCTTAAAAAAATTCTTGACTTTTTAACAAAACAGTTTATTCAGATATAAGTAATTTAAACCCTAAATATGCATCAATATGTTCCATTCACATATAACTTGCTTACTGATTTTAAATGCAGTATTTCTTCCATGTATTCAAAATAATACTTTGTGACCCCATCCACCCCCACTCCCCAGCACCAATGCTATGTTCCCTGTTGCATTTAAGACTCCTGTGACACTATGGAGAAGTTACTAATAACTTATTTTTTTTTTTGTAAGATGTTTTCCAATTTTCTCTTTTTTTCAAATAAGCGATGCTCTCTACTTGTGAATTAAACATTATTTTCTAGGAGCAGTATGTAATCTAACCTTTTTTATGAGTGAGGTACACTACACATATCACAATTTTATCATCCAAGTCTTCTTCGTTTACATTAGGCCATTACAATTTTCAGCTTTTAATATGTTAATTTCTCTGAGTTTTTTCCTCTTTGACTCTGTGATAGACAGTGAGGCCTGGTAATAACTGGAGTTAAGCAGAAATCTTTGACTTGGGTCAGATGTGAAGGGCAGTTACAGTACGACAGGTGCTTGGAAAACTAGAACCATTTGAAGTATGAGCTCCTGAAGGGAGCTGAGTGCTCAGCCAAATGCTTCTGATGTTCCAGAGACCTACATATGCTTGCTAACTGCACTATCAGAAACGCATGAAATCTTCCCTAGTCTTCCCTAGTCTTCTAATCTAGGAGCTCCTAATTCTGCAGCAATTTTGGAGATTTGCAAAGTTAAAAAACAAAGTTTATGCTACTTTTAAGTCTCTCAAATTACATTAGAGGAGGAAGAAAGATTTTTGTTTCAGGAACTGTGATATATTATATGCATGTATATAAAAAGGAAAGATAAAAAAGAAAGAGATGAATTATGTATGTGTTTTCTAGAATTAAACTGTGATCTGTAACTTGTGTATGTAATAAAACAGTAGCACTGATATCGCCCTGGGTATCAGCTACTTTATTTTATCTAGGGATATTTGATAATAGACCATTTTTAGACAAATAACAACTTAACTTTTCTTCATTACATCACCATAAGAATTATGCTATTAAGAGACTGGTTTTAATATTGGTTAGGACTACTCTTATCTCTTTTACCACTTACTGTTACTATTGTTACTATTATCTTATTTACCAGATACAAACCTCCTAATTTCAAAGAGAATATGGAACCAAGATAATTTCCTAGATAAAGGAGTTTAGATAGCTGTGGCTTAGATCAACAACTCTTAGTGTTTTCAAATTCAAAACAATAGGTAAAAGTTCAGATTGATGCACTAAAGCACTTAAATTTCCAAAACATTCATTATAAAAGTTTGACTTCTATTCTATGAAACAATCGTTTTGAATCCTTAATATTCTAGAACAGGAAAGTAAAACAAAGTGGGAGGAAAGATAATGAATGGAAAATTGTTATTTTTTTTATTTTAAAAGATAATTTGAAAAGCTATGAGAATCACTTCCATGCAATTTTTTTTCTATTTTTATGGAATCATAAAAAGAAAATGAATTCATTCTATCATCTTAAACCCTTACTTATTAAGTTAACTAAAGGAAACTTGTTGAAATGTGAGAAAATTTGAGGTAGTTAAAAACTCAAAATTTGTTTAATTTCACTTTCCAAAAATAATTATAATTTTAACAGCATTATATTGTGAAAATGATTTTGTATCATTTAGATTGTTGCAATAATTTTAATTTAACATAATAAAATACACTATTTAAGTATTTCTATAGTACACATTTTCTTTACATGCAATGAGATTTCTATGTATAGTTCTATACATAGTGGTACACTTGTGCCACAAAGAAGCAATTAATGTCAAATGACTTTGAATCCAGAAAGGAATCCAGAAAGTCCTACAAGATAATACAGATAGACTCTGATAGGAGGTGGAAAAAATATTAAAGTTACATGTGTCCGGAAAAGAGCATCATGGTCAGGTAATTTCAGCTAAATAGCCACCATATAACATGAAAAACTCTTCAGTGTTTATGCATACACCCCCCCCCCCACACACACACACATACACACACATGATACACACATTTAGCTCTGCCTTGCACTAAACTCCTATTTGGCCTCCTCCTGCTGGATGGTATTTGGACAAAAGTCCAAAGTCATTCTCCAGAGACACAATGCACCAATTCAATGCTTGTCTTTGGTGCCTTTCTCCCATCTGTTGCCTCTGACTATGTTTTTTTTCCTAGTGAAGAGTAAATCAAAGGGTGTTTTTTGTAAGATGTTTACTCACTATCACCTGACCCTCCAGATTTAACTCTGACACATTCAAAGCTTGATCTAAGCCCTATCATCGCTCATAAATCTATACTGGAAAAGACCCTGTAGGCCAGTGATCAGGACCAAAAGGAAAGGAGGCTCAGATGAAGAGAATAAGCCAATTTTTTTTTTTTTTTTTTTACTTACAAACACTGCTCCATTTTATCTAAAATACCGTTTTTCTTTAAATGTGTAATATGTATCGTTGTGCATATTTTGGTGAGTATATATTGAAGTCAGAAATAAAATTGCATTAACAGAGAGATCAGAGTAATATCTTAAAGGTAACATTAGGAAATAAGCAAATACAAGGTTCCAGGA